TATATATATATATATATATATATATATACATATATATACACATGTGTGTGTGTGTGCGAGCGCGTGCGTGTGTTTATGTATGCATATATAAATGTATATATTTAAACGAATATGTTTTAGAGAGAGAGAGATAATGGGAGAAAGAAGGAGAGAGAGAAAGGAGAGAGAGAGAGAGAGAGAGAAAGAGAGAGATGATATCCAGATTTTTACATGCAGACAATATTTCTCCTACAAGACCAAACTATCGGAGTTCTTAGACTTAGTCTTAGAATATCCAGTAATGAAGATCAAATTCTTTAAAACAGATGAGAGAGAACAACCCGGACCCACCCTATCCTCTATCTCTGTATCTCTACTCTCCTCTGTCTGCCTGTCCGTGTGTCTGTCTCTCTCGTCCCATTCTCTGTCTCTGCCTCTGTCTCTATCTATCTTTCTGTCTCTGTTTCTATCTCTCTCTTTCTCATCCCCCCTCTTTCTGTCTCTTTTTCTGTGTGTCTCTGTTTCTATTTCTCTGTCTTTGTCTCTGCTTCTGTCTCTGCCTCTGTCTGTCTGTTTCTTTCTTTCTTTCTCTCTTCTCTCTCTCTCTCTCTCTCTCTCTCTCTCTCTCTCTCCTCTCTCTCTCTCTCTCTCTCTCTCTCTCCTTCTCTTCTCCTTCTCCCTCTCCCTCACCACATCTCCCTCTCTCTGCCTCTGTCTATTTGTATGTTTCTTTCTTTCTCTCTGTCTCTCTCTTTCTCTCTCTCTCTCATCCCCCCTCTCTGTCTCTCTATGTCTCTCTCTCTCTATCTATTTATCTTTGTCTCTGTTTCTCTGTCTGTCTGTCTGTCTGCCTATCTGTCTGTTTATTTGTCTGTCTGTCTCTCTCTCTCTCTCTTTAATGACAAGGAACAGTCCGCGTCCACCCTTCCCTCTATCTCGCCGGCGATGGTGTTACCATGCGACCGCTTTTTCAGTATTACGTAATAGAGACGCGCATCTTACTTAACTTCTGTTTGTTCTCAAAGACAGACGATTAAAAAACAAACATTTCATTTTCGAAAATCATAAGCTATTTCTTTGAATCCCGACAGTGTCCACTTGACCCTGTGATTGTTGACACACTGCCAACTAAACCGCTCTTTCGAATGCTTTGGAAAAAAAAAGAAAAAACGCGTTGGAATCACTGACCTTCGGCTCATGCGCGAATGCCATCTAGCGGTCAGATTTTCGTTACAGAGAGTCCGAGGAGCAACTAAAAGATGTTCTTATAATGTCTTTTGACGAAGATTTGAAAAAAAAATGTGCGAAACTCATTCTGGATGTTTTCTGTTCTTAATTCAACTTTTATGAAAAAAATAATAGAGCGGAAAAATAAATATATATTATTTAATGCCCACCCACGCGATCGTTTTGATATTTAAGCCGGATTTTATAAAGAATTTATAACTGAAAATGTATCCTCTCGGAATGCGAAGTCTTCCCCTTCTCACTTTCTCACTTTCTCCCTCTCCTCTCTACCTATCTCTGCCTGTCTCTCTCTGTTTTCCTCTGATTAGCTCTCTCCCTGTGTTTGTCTGTCTGTCTGCTTGTTTGTCCACCTACCTGTCTGTCTCTCTCTCCCTCGCATCTCCCTCTCTTATTCTCTCCCTCTCTTATTCTCTCTCTCTCTCTCTCTCTGTCTGTCTCTGTCTCTGTCTCTCTCTCTCTCTCTCTCTCTCTTTCCTACTCCCACTTCCCCTCCTACTCCCTCTCACCCTTTCTCCTCTCTCTCAAATAAATTACAAGATACCTTTAGTGATACCTCAGACAGACTCCTCCACTCCACGACACCGCTACCAACCCGGGGTACCAGAACACACCATCAGCCTCGTAATAAAGGGTTTGAGATCTTCCCTTGCGCGGTGGACGAAGTAGCCTCAGGTGGACGGACGTCCCTCTGTGGCGTCGTTTCGTTTCAATGCGAAAAAAATGTGAAATAAATTCTCCCTTTTGTTACTGTTACGTTAAGTTAAGTTCGTTAAAGGGGTCTTTGCCAATGCGTCAGTATTGCTGGTGCCTTCGTCTTAATCATGAAATACACGGAGGCTAAAGTATTCATTAGATCTCTTATCCAGACCTTTTTTTGTAGTACTAACGAGAAGGACGACGCCCAAACACTACGCATTGGATAACGTCACTGAATCTTCTACTGCCGTTTGTACTGTACCTGGGGGTTGCTGGGAGCTGAATAATTTTGAAAGTTATTCTATATCTAATTAATTAAGAATAACCCGTTTCTCATAGCGACCTAAGCCGGATTGTGGTGAATAAGGTTTAATGATTGTGTAATGCCTTTTGCAAGTTTGCAAGTCATGTAACCTGCCTTATTTATACACTAACATTATCACAGACCTTTCGTATACATTCCTGTAACCTATTATGGTTACCATTGCTTGAGGGTGCGTGCTTGGGCTTCTCATTTGCATAGATCCTCAGGTACCTATTTCTTCACACCTAGAAAATATATACATATATACATGCA